ATTAGAAGCAATGTAAAATTCTAAAACTGTTTAAATCTCTACTCGTAGATATGCACGTGCGGCACGCACGTGTTTAAAAATAACTGATATACAAAAGGGAAAAATGACATCGAAAGTTTGAAAAAGTATACATCGTCCTTGCATATGGTCTTTGTTGGTTTATTCAATCCATACCTCGATTTGCTATAATTCATTAGAAATATTGATAATAATTATAGATATGATAAAGAATAATTTGAATCAGTTTTTTGAGACATTTGAGGAAGCTTATTTTCAGAATAACAGATATTTTTTTAGAAAAGAGCACCCCTGCTTTTATACTTAAAATGCAACAACAGTGTATGCACAACTTTTAAGCGTGCCCACCCTAAGAAAGTCTTAGGACTGAACCTCACCAGAGTTACTCAAACTGACAGCAAAAGTACTCCCCAACTCAACGTTGACAGTAGCAGCGGCGCTGATTACTGAAACATCACTCGGCCCTAAAGTCACAGCGCTAGGAGCCAAAAGCCGAGCATCCAATTGACCCAATCTTAATGACGAAGCCATTTCGTTCCGCGGAGGTCGCCCTGCTATGTCCTCCAGCTGTTTTGATAAACTCCTCCAAGATACTATTTCTGCTGTTGTACTTCGATCTTTGTGGAAATAGTATTCACAGCACCATGCTTCTTATTGGCAACCAAAAATCTGGCCACCAACTCAAAATCATGACCAATATTAAGACCAATAGTATAAGAGATCGTAACCAGGAAGGATCAGAAACTTATAGGCGCGTACAGCAGGCTGCAGCTGGCTTCTTTAAAGCCTGAATGAACATTGCTTACTGCTTGCTTTTTTGCAGCAGCAGCCAGCAGCGCAGCCCATAGAAAACAGCCATAGAAAAAAGTGAATCCTAGGTGGAACATTAAGTTTCCAGATGGCACTTACAAAAACTGGGGTAAACCCCCTATGGTTTATGACTGCATACAGAGACGGTACTGCATAAGTGCCATTAGAAGTAAAACTCCACATAATCTGCATACGGAGATTGTACTGAATGCATCCTAATAGAATGTCGTCATTCAAGTCCTGACATGAGATCATTTAAGGCGCAACTTATGCTGAGCTCTACTAAAACTTTGAGCCACATGCACATCAACATATTGTTGTTTAAACTATCGCAACACAAGTAATATGATCAGAATCACTTCGTCAGGTTTCATGATATATGATTTTCCTGAAAACTATGATAACTTCAAGAGACTGAGTGAGAAGATAAAAGGGAGCAGGAAAGTCTGCCGATGGATGACAACTGGGGGCATACAGGCATGGCAAGAACATAGAGTAGTAATGTTTGTTTCCCTACTGTGGCATTGTTTGTCAAACATGACCAAAAAAACATTATGATATATTGCTTTGTAACTCAGGTATTTAGTAGGAAACCACTTTGTGAGGTAAGGATATATTGATTCGAACTCAGTACAACTCCAAAGTATCATTGTAGCAATAGTGCAAGTTCCTGTTTGCAAGATCCAAGGCATCCACATCAGAAAAAGAACCAGTATAAGGCCAACAACATCAATAAGCCTCCACATTCATGTAAAGAAACAGAGCTCGAGCATATATCAAATCAACAGTTTAAAATATCTAAACACCAACAAAATACTTTGGTCGCATCGTAAGGAAACAAGCTGGCTTATGATAATAATGATCCATGATAATGAACTATGAAAGCTAGTGTCATGTTTCATGTCTAGATTCCCTACAGATAGTAAATACCGAACAACCTCTGAGGTTTCTTTTGACTGCAAGAAATTATCAAATTGGTAATGATTAATAGGCCCTTTTGAATACCTTTTCTAACACATCAATGTCAAGAAAACTTGCATAGGAAAAGTGGTTCTGTGTGTGTAATGGAGAAAATCACCGAAGCAAAAGCAGGAAAAATATATATCAGCAGAAGCAATAAAGTAGCACCTAAATGTTCAGTACGAGAATTATTTTTCACATCCTAAAAGTATTTCTTGTATTGCAAAGTTATCCTCAAACCCTCACCCCGCAAGCAAACATATACAGAGCAGTATGAAAAGAACACTCCTTGCCAATTGAGTGGATAATTTATTGTATAATAATTTCTTGCCACAAAGTAAATCCATACAGAAACAACAATAATTTCACGAATCATATGTCTCAGAAGGAAGAAAAAAGAGCAGCTGCAAGGCAAAGTTGGTTCATTCCACGAATTAAGTTTCAATGCTGACAGAGCAATATTACATCTAGCTTAAACATTCATTACAGAAAAAATCATACTTATCGTTCATGTCTGCATGCCCCTAAGACAAGTTAAAGTGTGTGTGAAAGAAGTATCATCAAGTATTTACAATTTTAGCCACTTTCGGCGGTTTGGAAAAACAAAGGCTAAAATGTTTCTGTTATATATATATATTTTCCGTTCTCTTCATTCTTAGGAAACAAAGAATTAACCTTGGTTTAATCACTCCTAGTCATAACTGCAGGATAGAAGGGTAAAACACGGGTGAACTCTGATATAATCATTGCACTACCTTTGGTCTTTAATGTTTCATGAAATTCAAACACACACACAAAAAAATTGCACTTCATTATTTCAACAAATGCATAATCTGGACAGCTTATTCAAACAGCAAATGCAAAATCTTGCTAGATATTATAAAAAACAGTGGTACAAAATTTGTTTTATGACAAGAATGACATGGAACCATGCATAGGTAGGACGAATACCTTTTATATCCAATTTCAAGTTTGACCAAAAAAAATATTGTCTGCCTAATTTTCGATAGGAATCCCAACTTATCCAATTTCAAGTTTGACAAAAAAAATAGTCTGCCTAATCTTCGATAGGAATCCCAAGACTTGGCAAGCAAAAATGAAATGATGTTAAGGGGAAAAGAAACAAACTAAAACAATAGTTAGCGAGAGACATGAAAATTAGTCATGCCCAATGTGAAGTAATATACTTCTGATTAATAGCTCAATAGGTCATTAGTGATCATGATTGGAAGGTGGAAGAAAAATGTAGCAGGCAAAAACATAACTAGAAGTGGAGGACTGTCTTTAACCTGCTTTAGCCTGCTACTGCTTTGTAGCCTCCAGCATCGTTTATACCATTACAGCTCTCTTCTCCACGTGTGAAAGTGCTGCCATTTCTGCTTCCGGCTTCTCCTACACATAGAAGGTTTAAAAAATTAGGCATCTGCTAATGGATAACTGGTTGTTTATCATTGCGTTGTTGTTTTCTTTGTCCTAGCATTAAACCGATTTCTCATTTCTCAGACACATTGCGTTTGTCAGGCACCACATGAAGCCACTGAAGCGGTTTTCTCCTTTTCATGTAACTGAGATTGTGAAAAGTCATTGTTGAAATTGTCTGCTGTTCTGATCTAAGAACTCACAAAGTAGTTGAAACTTGAACTTCACCTCTGCAGGAGAATGTTTTAGTGGCTGACTTGAAAGCAACACTGGTATGGCATAAAACTGTTGTGCATGATATATTTTTTTTTTTTTGGCGACTACATGATATTTTCTTCGTACATTTCAACTGATTGTATCGTTACAGGCTGAACTGAAGGAGTCAAATGAGCAAGGTGCTGAGATTGGAGAAGCTGAGAGTACAATCGCAGAGGTTGAAGCAGTTGTCAAGCCAACAGAAGATTAGACTTAAAACTCTCAGATTGCTGAACTGTTAGCAGTAGCACGCATCGTGTTCTATTCTGTTTCCAAGTTCAAAGCATTATTGCTTGTTGTCTGGGAGAGCACATCCCTTGCTTCTCCGCAAACTGTGTTAGTGTAAATTGAAATTAAGGATTTCAAGTCTTGGATTCATTGTGGACTCTTAATATGTACATTACGAAAATTGAGAACATGGTCTGTTATTATTATATTAGTATTAGTGGAACTTACAAGTGTTGTGGTACTCACATGACGCCCCATTTATTCTTGTACAGAGAACTGGAATTGAACGTATGATCTATGATCATGATTGGCCATCATTTCATCCTAGTGATGTTTCCCATACAGAAAGATTCCTTTTTACCTAAGGTACTGGTACTGCCATGAGAAAAAGAAACAGTACCATCAGATTTTAGTACTAGTAGGAGTAGGTGATAACAGATCATGTACATCACTGTCTCCAGATCAGGGAAGATATATGCAGATATGGGACAGATTTTGAATCTTAGGCCAGGCCCGGGTGACATGTTTTGCTTTTGGGAAGAGGGAGGGAGTAGCTTGGTATACTATGAGCAGGAGTATCGTTTACTTTTGTTATAATATGTGGTGTCGTATCAACATACGTGATTGATTACCCTGAAGTCGACACAAATAGTGCAAATTTTGGACAGCAACTCGGTGAATGCGGCAGCATCAATCCTATCGACGCAGAATTCCGAAGCACGCTTTCATTCAGAAAAGCTCGCACAACTTCCTTAGCCCTGATGTCACTGCTGTAACATCAACATTTATAGGCGAAAATTGACTGCAAACTGCGATTTTCTTCCACAACACCGGAAGGAAATAAACAGGTGTAAACCTTTCAGCGCGTGTTTAGTTCCAGGGATTTGGAATTTGGGGCTACTGTAGCACGTTCGTTTTTATTTGACAATTAGTGTTCAAACATGGACTAATTAGGCTCAAAACGTTCGTCTCGCAATTTCCCACCAAACTGTGTAATTAGTTTTTTTTTTCGTCTACATTTAATACTCCACGCATAGGCCGCAAACATTCGATGTGACAGGTACTGTAGCATTTTTTGGGATTTTGGGATGGAATTAAACAAGGGCTCAGTTATGCAGCACAAGTCAAAAACCAGCAAGCTACCTAGCCCTAGCTCACTGAACTCCCTCACCAATGGACATGTAAAACTCAAGTAGCAAGTCTAAGAGAAACTGAAAGAATGACAAACAGGTTCAGGGAGTGTCGTGTTCAAGCCTTCAAGGTAACAAAAATCAAGCACTGCAACAAAATCAAGGGACAATTACAGTGAATTACAGGGACAACTGCCGTATAAAGAAATTACAGGGACAATTACAGTGAATTACAGGGACATGCTGCTTCCCAATAACAAGCCTCTTTTGCCAGAAGAACTCCAGGTGCCACCTTGGCTCTGTATGTCGCACCAAAGCCGTCGTTGCCAATGAAGTTGCTAGCATTGAAATTCCCAGTAGCGCGGCAACAGTCTCATATGTCAGTGGGGCTCCAATTTCAACATCTGCGAAAACCTTGACTTTCCTTCTCCCTAAAGAGCGCTTTGATGGTCTCAGAGGACATTTCCTTGTGCAGATGCACAGGGTCAGTGCAACTAACAGAACCACGACAATGGCTGATGCTGAAGCTATGGCAGCAATCTCTTTGATACCGAAGCCACCATCACCATTGCTGCTGCTGCTGCTGCTACTAGAAGTGCACGGCCGTGTCTCATTCAGGAAACAGTTCACCTGTAACTGAATGAACAGTAATTACATGAACTGGTGACACGGCAGCAGCAGTTATCTCGTCCCCAGATAGTAAACAGTGTGATTTCGCAGTGCCACAAGATCAACAGGAACCTCCCCGGATAGAGAACTGTTGGACATATTAAGAAATTCTAGCGACCTCAGCTGGCCCAAACCAGAAGGTATCTTACCGCTGAAATTGTTGCCGGACAATGAGACAAATTTCAGGTTCTTGAGCTCCTCAAGACCTGAGGGCAGCCGCCATGGAGCAAGTTGCCGCTGAGATCCATCCGGTCCGGGGGCGCGGCGGGGCAGGGCGCGGGTGGGCGCCTCCCTCGGCGCGTGGGGGCCATGGGGGCGCGGACGACCGCCTCCCCCGGCCGGTGTGCCCTGCGCCGCGACGGCCGGTGGAGCGTGGGGCGGTGGGGGCGCGGATGGAGGGGGAAGGAGGCGCGGTGGGGGCAATGGGAGGGCGGTGGCCGGTGGCATGGCGTCTTCTTCCTCAACGGCGACGGCGCCGCCGCCGTAGTCCTTCCGCAAAGCACGACGACGAAATGGGCGCGTATGCTGCTCGCGACTCGCGGTAGTGCTTCTGTTTGGCGACGCCATCTCCGACGGAATAACGGAGTAGAGCGTCAGGGCTGGACTCGGGGATGGGCTGGACGGGCCTGGCCCAGGCGGGACCCAGTTGCAATATAATGTAAAATAATTATTTTCTTTAATTACCTGCTTTGAGATTTGTGCCATTTTTTAAAAAGGGAGTACAGGAGCAGTTGCCCATATCTTAAAGGTAAATGCGGAGTGACCTCCGACGGTAAGCGCTCAAATAGTGTGCGGTCTCACTACCGAGAGTTCAAAAGGCAAAAAAAAAAAAAACTGTGAAGAACTCCATTACTATAATAAAATAAATATAAACAATCTAGTGTCTGGAATAGTAAAGGCCGAGATTAGAAGCAATGTAAAATTCTAAAACTGTTTAAATCTCTATTAATGTCTGGTGTGTCATCAATCGCTGGAAAACGTTGATGCTTCACTTGGCCTATGTGCTCAGCTTCTTGGGCCGGCGCCGGCGGCTCTCGGCATCCTCCATCCGCCGCACGGTACGCTCCAGCGCGTCCACACGCTCGGCCAGCGCGCCGATCACCGCGCACTGTTGCGCGCTCTGCTCGCACAGCGCGGCCACCATCTCCATCACCTTCCTCGCGTCCACACCGTCAGAGGCGGCGCCGGCACTTGCAGTCCCCATGGTCTCCAACGGACACGCCGGTTCCTTGCGCGGTGGCTCCTGGTCGTCGGGCGTGGCTGCCACGGGTGCGTTTTCCTCCATCACCATCTCCCACTCGCCCTCGGCGTCCGAATCCTCCGGCTCGTCGACATCAACATTGGCGTCGCCCGGCACCACTTCCTTTTCCTCTCCCTCTCCCGCTTTCGCCTCAGGATCGCTGGCGGCTACTGCTTCGTCGACCTCCACCTGGGTGGGCGTGTCAACCGCTGTCTTGATGCTCTCCATCTCACCACCGCGCTCCACGGCGTCTGCCAACTCCGGCGCTGCCGCGGCCGTCGCCTCAGGTGCGTCGACCTCTGTCGCGTCCTCCACAGGCGCCGGCTTAGTCTCGAGCGCGTCGACGGCGTCCTGCAGCACAAGCACTCGCTTGGTGACCCTCCTCCGGTAGTCGCGCGCGCCGCGCACCGCGTCGAGCCGTAGCAGCATCCTCATCAGCGCCTCCCCGACGGCGACGCGCGCCCTGGGGTCCGCGACTAGGGCCTCCGCCTCGGACGCCATCTTCTTCCGGACTTGCTCCGCCTCGTGCGCGACCTCGCGCACCGCCCGCACCGACTTCCTCGCCAGGAACCCGCGCGCCGCCGCCTGCATCCTCACCACAGCCTCCTTCGCTGACATCGCCGGCGCCACCGGTTTCACGCGCGCTCCCGGCGCCTTCTGCTTCAGCTCCGGCTCCGGTTCGTTATCCGAGTCGGGCCCGTGGACTGGGATCGAGAACGACGTCTTCGTCTCCCTCGTCTTCCTCGCCCTTGGCGCGGGTTTCGCGGCCGCCGGCTCGGCGCCCGCAAAGATGCCCCTGGTGGACCTGCGGGTGGCCGCGGGCTGCTGCTCGTAGTAAGGGTCGTAGTTGTACGGGTCGGCGTAGTAGTAGCCGTGAGGATTGTAGTCGAAGAACCGCCGGTATGCCATCGCCGTTGCTGCCTCAACCCTCGAGCTTTTCTTCTTTCGAGTCTTGTTCGGTGTCTGCGTTTGGAGATGCATTAGGAACGTGGCGTGTTTATATGAGTACTGAGCAAGAGGCCAGGAGGTGCGAGTTGTGGTGTTCTACGAATCGCCTCGGACACGGTGGGGTCAGGTGATTCGGATTCGGCCATGAGCCCACGAGCGGTGGAGCAGTCCGGAGGAGTCCAGTCCATTGACTATTCTTGTAGCGGCAATCCGGCAACGACCACGAGTCTTGACCTGCCCTTTTTATATGAAGTCCAGCAAATTAACTCGTGATCGAATTCGAATCAATCAACCGCAACGGTTCAAGTTTATAGACGCGATAAAAATCTTGGCTACATGCATTATTGCAACCGCAGGAGATACTAATAGACATGTTTTTACTACTTTTTTTTTTTTCTAAACTATCAAATATGTTTATAGTCGCATGGAGAAAAAAAAGTAATCAAACATTTATGAAAAACAACAAAAATATTACTTATCTAATCCTCGGTTTTTACATGGCAGCTCTCATCATGGATTGCACTATTACATCATATCCATATAGTTTGCAAACACATTTATTTAGATTAGTTGGATAACAAGCTGCTCAAATTTTGAGTTCATGATAAGATTAGTTGGACAATCAACTTATACATATTTGAACAATAATATGTTTTGTTCTTAATCAAAACTACGTTAACAAATTAATAGTGGAAATATTTGTATATTAGTGAAAGGTCAAGGTTCAATTTTTATGTTTACAAGCAAACATGCCCATGCGTTGCAACGAAATCTAATATGTAGTGAGTTGTACCACGGGTCATAAGTTCGAGTCAAAAATTAAATTAACGTTAAAAATCTTTGTTTCCTAAGGAGTCAAAGATTAAAATAGATGTGATCTCTTATTTATTATTTGTTTTTATTCTTATTATATTTATTAGAACACGAAAAAATTAGGTGAAGAAAACAATGAAAACAAAATCAGAAAAGTGGAGCTAGTGTCAAAAACATCCATGAGAAAAAAATTGGAATGTACTCTAGAAAATAGCAACAGAAAAAAAATCAGAATATATTCGAAGCCAAGTGAAAAACGTCCAAATAAACGTAAAGCAACACGTACTCGGAGCAAGTAAAAACGGACAAACCAGAAAAAAGTGAAAAAGAAAAAAAAAGAAACAAAAGAAAGAAATTCTATCCTTCTTTCCTCTTTATTAGATTTCTATTCTTATATTTTTGCATTTCGATTAAGATTTCTATTCCGGTTACTCAAAATTGGACAGATCTAATTGGATTAAGATTTCTAGTTATCCATATTATTATATTTTTTCTATTAGGATTAAGATTCCTATTTACCCGAAATCGTAAAGATCTAGTGGATTAAGATTCCTAGTTATATAAAGAGAAATGCTATAAACGGTTTTCGATATTCATAAAGTTAGTTAAGGGATGACCGGACAAAAAATAGGTGAAGAGAAATTTACCCTTTATTATATATATATATATATATATATATATATATAATAAAGGGGTAAAATTTCAGACCTATTTTTTTGTTCGTCTATTTTTTTGTCTGTCTCCCTATGCTACCGTACGATGAAGATTTTTTTTCATCCGGACTTATATATATAACTTATGCTCATACGAATTAGAATAGCATTTGTCTCGGTTCCACTTCCATGCTGGCTAGGATTCGACGACAAGCAATTACCTCATATGTGCAGTTGTGTACGAGTTTGATCCTGCCAACTATAACGAAACACGATCGTGTGCGTATGGACGATTATACTCCTAGTAATAAAAAAAACTAACCAGTCCTGACTATCAGTATACCACCCGGTCCGTGTTTCTCCGTGCCAGGAGTCTCGAGGTAACGCTGATAGTAATCCTAATGAATAAATTCCTCCGATCTAATCTGATTTCCTAATAAATAAACATCATATATTTTTTTCATCGTTTCCGTTTCTGTTTCTGCCTGTTCCGTGGTTGGTCAGATGTTTTTTCCTTTTTTCTTTTTTTTTCTTTCCTAATATTAAGCGGGAGAGGTAGTCCGTCCGCGGGTGTTTTTAGATTCCGTTTTCACGTGGTTTTGTTTTTTAAGTTTCGTCTATCTTTTTTTTTGTTTTTCTGTTTTGCATCTTTTTTTCTCGGTTTCCTCATATGTTTTCCTTCGGTGCTTTTTCCCTTTTTTCTCTCCTATAAAATAAATTTTTGTCTGCTCTGACTTTTCCTTTCTTTTTGTGGTTTTTGTGTTTTTCAAACTATATAACTCTCATTTTGATTTGTTACTAATGCCTTTCTCTAATACTAAATCACCAGGTCGTATTTTTTAATGAGTATTTTCAACTTTTTAATAGATATTTTCACCACGAATTTGTTGCATCAATTATATCTTCTGCTCAAGTTACGTTACATTCACGTGTCCACTTCCTAATCCATGTGTTTGTCACCGGTTTTATCTTCGTGTCGGGGGTAGAGGTAGCTTTGTTCTCCTTCCCTCTCTCAGGTCCTAACCTGTTCCACATCTAGAGTCTCATTAGCATGTGCAAATAGATTGTCGTAGACCTATGGGAGCCCTCGAGAGGGCGTAGGAGAATAATAACGATGAGGCAAGGCAGATGTGGGGGATATGACCTCCGATACCCATAAGACAAGACCTGGGCTGCACAATCAGAGGTGGCCTAGCCCACAAGATCAAGGCGTGCACGGCAATGGTCGATGTGCACCGCAAGATATTGTATAGTACCAAATAGGATATTTTTCTTGTAACCCTACCCCTCTAGAGTATATAAGGAGAGACAGGGGTCCCCTAGTGGACATCGATATACATAGATCTCATATTCAATACAATACACTGTCGATGTTTGACCACTGATAGCCTGCCACGGAGGTACCTGGGGCAGTATGTTCGGGCTTCAGCGTATGCGGAACTCGACGGTGAATGCAAGAGTCTGTTGATTTATCCTGGTTCAGGCCCACGATCGTGATCGAGTAATAGCCCTACGTCCAGTCGGCGTTAGCCTTGCGTTGGATTGATTGTGTGGTGTATTGTTGTATCTGGTCTGTTCTCCCGTCTCTAGGAACCCCGCCCTCCTTTATATAGTCAGGAGATCAGAGCCCTAGTCGGTTTACAATAAGAGTTTGTAG